CAGTATTTGAAAGTGGCGCCCGAATTGCAGCATGGCGCCAGTTGTCCAAAATCCTACGGTACCAAAGGAGGGGTTTGGAAAAAGGGTGCCAGCCCGAAAACGGGATGCAGCCGAAACAGCAAAAGATAGACCAGGGATCGAGCCCTGGCGAAGTCCGTAACAGTCGTTGTCGTTGTCGTTGTCGTTGTCGTTGTCGTCGTCGTCGTCGTTGTTGTCGTTGTCGCTGTTGTTGTTGTCGTCGTCATTTTCGTCGTCGTCGTCGTCGTTGGTTTTCTTTCACTAGTGAGGAAGTCTTCCATGGAGAGCCTTTGTTATCATGTGGTCTTGCACATACGGCGAAAAGCACTGTGGACACGATGACAAACTACAATCGCATGGACGTGTTGCTGCCAAACCCTTGCCAAAAGAAAGGTAGAGGCATTTGACCACAGCGTTTGCAAAATTCCCTTTGTCGTCGGAGTTCTGCAAACTGGAGGCATGTATTCCAACATCTCAAGAGCATCCATGGAAATATAGGGGCAATGGAGATCAAATATTCCTCGAACACATATGGGCATGGGAGGAAATATGCCTCATGTACATATAGCGGCGTGGGAGCAAATATGCGTCTGTAATTGTGTGCGCTAACTGGTGAAGTTCCAGCTGGTGGTGCCTCTACTGGCCTGCCACACACGCTGACGTGGAGGGAAGCAAATGGTTTGAGTACAAACACTGCAACAACCTGGGCTGGTGTGGGTGTACCTCCTGTTCTTAAGAACTATGACATGGGACTTGTAAACAATGCTATACAGTGCTTGAAAGACTACTTTTGAGCAAGTGATTGTCAGCTCATTAAGCTGTAGGCCAGTGTGTATCTTGCTTCAGGACACAATGTCATTGCTGAAAGGACTTGCATCTTCACGTGAGGTGAGGTGAGGCGCAATGCATGTCCATCTCATTGGAAGAGGAGTGATGGTGAACTGTTGCGACATTGATGTGCATCATCTGTGAATTCGTGCAGGTGATTAGAGTTGTGCCATACAGTGCTGTACAGCTCTGCGCGTACGAGACATTCAAGGTCAGGTGATGCTCCATGCAACTTGTGCCTGTTACGTTTCTCTTAAAGCAGATTATCTGTTCATTCAACTTCCCACTAGCTACTATGGTTTCATTCTGGTGCTTCTCTTTTTCCTCCATTGATGTGATATTATACGGTGCAATGAACCCAGTCAGATGAGAAGCTCGTGAATGTTGAATTACAAGTCTGACACAGCGCATCATTAATGTCTCCAAATATCGGTAATGAAACCATGCCCGTCGTACATGTAGTCTCCCAATGTCTCGAACTGAGAGAAGAGAGTGAGGAGAGGGGAAGATGAGACTGGGAGGAGTAGGAGAGTGTTCACAAGTATCAGCGAAGCAGTAGTCTCTCCTCAAGATCACTTCGTCCTCGGGCATCTCCCTCACTCCCCACGTCAGCAATACAGTTCTCCTCTGATGATCTCTGACATATACAATGAACAGGTCGCAGCAGGGTGCCCATCCTCCATCCACCAGCAGCAATCAAGGAAGATGGCGCAGATCTTCCTCTTCGAGACAAGCAGCAAAGCACACGCGACGTCACAGGTAAGTCCAGCTAAGCTTGTCCACATCACACGCACCAATCTCACAGTCGAGATCCTCCTCCTCCTCGCCGACACTCCTATAAATGTCGAAATCAATGTGGCTGTGGCCACATCGGCATAATCTCCCTCAAGGCGGGCGCCCACACTCAGAATCCGGCGCCCACATAAAGCTCCAGCAGCTTTGCGTCGTCGCACCAGCAACAATCCAGCGCCAGGCAGAATGCCTCCAATCAGGGGCTGGGTCAACTTATAGTGTCGACTCACGTTGACCAGCCTCTGGTCTCCAGGGGTCGATGGCCCTGATCAATCGGAAGCCAATGGCCTGGATGCTGCGTACCAGATTCTTCTGGATACTTGCAGACAACCAACGATGTGTATCTGATCTACAGCCGTGGCTGACCAGCGGGTTGACTTCGACCTCCGGGCCTGGATTCCCATGCTGGGGTTGACTGTTAACTTCCTCAAAGTCAACTGTTCCTCGCAGGGCCTATGAATGCTGATTCTGGCCCTGCCCAGGGTACCACTTGGCCTCAGGCCTTTGCCCAGGCTTTCTTAGACATAGGGCACGACTTTTGACCCCTGTTTCGGGTCTTTGACCATAGTGACGACCTAGAGCCCACAGCTTATGCAGATTTGGGCCGAGTTATTGCAATGGGTTCTCATCTGTTCATTCAATTAATATGGTCTCCTTTTGACACTTGCTGTCTCCTATGCAGCGTCAAGTAGTTGTTTGAACTCTGGCAATGCATTCATTGTTCAAACTTTTGGGAGCCTGTGTGATACTACATGGGATCTCAGAATCAGATAAACGGCCCTCAGCATAACTAACAAAGCATTTACATATTGTCCTGATCTTGTTGATGGCCATGTTGGCACCGTTAACAAAAACATTATACAGGACACATTTGTGGGCTCTCTTCTTTAAAAGGGTTAGAACTTAGAAGTATTGCCTTACTGTGGACACTATCGATGCGCTGCAGGCACTTAAGTTTTCTCTGGATGAATATATTGCTCTCTTTCTTGCAGCCATGCGACCAGCAACTCCGAAGAATAGGAACAACAGTCCTCCAACCATCTTGAACTCCTTACACACCTTTCTATCTTGTGCAGTGAGTCGAGGGATGATTTCCTTTAGCATAGTGTCTCCTTCATAAGAATCTAACACCTGATGACGTACACACCCTTCTAACTCAAACTCAGCAATGAGCGGCCCAAGGAACACATTGTCTGCCCTTTATGTCCGTAGGAGTGAAGTCATGCATATCTTTGACTTAGGTCAGACGGTGTGGGCTGCGTCACTACCCATTGGAGTGTCTCATGGTCAAACCTGGCGTCAACATGTTTGCCATGAAGATAATGCTTCCAATGTCTCAGCGCCATATAAAGTGCATGCAACTCCCTCTCATAGGTCGAGTTTGCCAACAATCTCATGAGCTAGCTGTTCTTTTATATTTGTGCTTCTGAAGAAGACCTGGAACAATGTCTTTGTCTGAATGGGCCTGAGAATTGTAAGCAGACTGTACACGGGAACCGATGGCAAAACCAAACTCATCAACTCAGAATCAACAACGAACTTGCACTTAAACTCTGTTCAACTCAACTGTATGACTTGTGGCTATGGCCGCCAAACACTGTCTCCACCACCAGCCTCACTCTCCCTCATGCACGCATGTACGAGGATCTACCCTGAATGTCCACGCTACACAGACACACACACCCGGTACACTCTGTCTGTGATAACAGCTGCGGTCGTCTTCCTCCTCCTAGCTATGGCCGTCGTCGTTTTCCTCCTGGTCAGCTGTGGCCATCGTCTTCCTCACTGCCCACTTCAGCTCCGCGCACCTGCAGACCTCCATGCGCAAGTCACCAAGGCAGCGCTTCCGCATGGCTCACAGGCGAATGAATGAATGGCTGGTCGCTGCCTTTTTATTTATACTGTGTAATGACCCGCCAAAAACACAGACTGAGAACACTGCTGATTTCTGGGATATGCCGCTGGAATGAATGCCTTGCTGAGATTCCCGCATTCTGCTGTGGTTTCCATGTCTGTGTGTGTGTACGTGCCTGCTGGTTTGCATGTCGGTCTGAGTGCTTGTCGGCTGAGTGTGTGTGTGACCCGCAAGGGTACTTGTTGGTTGAAAGGCCCAGCAGGGCCGGTACTTACCTGTGGCCGTGACTTTGAGGGTTGCAGGGGGGAAAACACTCAAGTAGCAGGTAGGCCGGTACCACTCATGTAGTGGTAGAAGTGTCAGGTACTGGAGGCCGAGCATAAGAAGACAAAAGTTAGCATTTTTAGAGGCCCAGTAGCGGTAGGTTAGAGGTAGGCCAGTACCAGTCCAAGTAGCCCGGGTCCAGGGCCTGTCCGGAGGATAGCAGAGCCTGCAATGATGTTTCCCTCCGAAAGGGAGGAGGTACTGGTTGCTGGGAGGCCGCTCGGCCTAGGAAGTCACCGCCCAAGAGGCTAGTAGGCCGCTATATCTTCGGGAGGAGCAAGTAGCTCCTCCTCATTTGCGGTATGCAAGGATTGGCGACATGCTGCTGAGCCAAGCGCTGGACTGTACAGCGCTGCCTGGAGGTGAAGGGCAGCTGGGCGCTCAGCCTGGCTATGGCGAGCAGCCCAGCCTGAGGAGGAGGAAGAAGGGGGCGAAGGAGGAGAGTGGCGAGGTACCTACCTGGCTATGGTGGACACCATCTTCATCACYTTGTTGGGCGCTGCATCTGGAAGGCCCCAGTTGGGGTAGTGCCGCACCAAGGAAGCTCGAGGCAGAGTCAGGCATGACGGCTTAGTCAGCAGCGGCATAGCTGCTTTGGATTGTCTTTTGGACAGGAGTGCAGCGCCAAAGCTGCTTTGTGTTGTCCTTTGCACAGAGAGGGGCAGAGCCCTCAGTTGTCCGCCATAGCCTAGGCTTGTGAGAAGTGGAAGAAGGGGGGGAAGCCATAGCTATGGTGGACCTGTTGTGGTTGTTGTTGTGTCAGCAGTAAGAGGGAACTTCGGATATTGATTCTGGTTCATCCACTCATTGTTATTATTATTATTGGGAAGAAGAATAAGATTGGAGAAGTTAAGGAGGAGGAGGAAGGTGGAGAGAGAAGGGGGATTAGTCATTGGTCTTGCTAGTGTACATCTACTTCTTCTTCTTCTTCTTCTTCTTCTTCTTCTACTTCTCTCTCTCTTCTCTGGTCTCTATCTCTTTGCAAGTGCTTTCATTTCTTTCGCAATTGGGTGGCATTGTCTTTCATTGTGAATTTGCACTTTGGGAATGATCAGGATCGTAACAACTGCTTCGGAGGTGGTCGGGCCCTGTCCCGAAACGCGTGGCCTTGGGCCAAAAACGCATGTGCCTGGTCTCTTACAGCATGGGGCCTGGGCCTAGAATCTTCCAAGACGTGTAGGCCTGGTAGGCCCAAGACGTGTGGGGCCCTCTGGGCCAAAACGTGTGCCCGACACATTTCTGGAGGCTTCTGTACACCCCGTGGCCAGATCCTTTCCCTACGTGCAGCCCTGGTACGTGCTGGCTCAGACAGACTCTTCTGGAACCTAGAGCCTACGGACTGTTACCTATGGACTGCCTCTTAGGCCTACGAAGAGGTAAGTAGAGACTTCTAGAACAGACCTTCCTAAACTAATGGTAACCGACTTAAGTACTAACCTACAGACCTAGGGATCAAGCCCAACTTCCCTTCCTACAGCCTAACCTATGACACAGGACAGGTCGAGGGTTCAAATCTCACACAGTCACTGGATGATTGTACAGGGCATAGGCATAGGTCTAGGGATTGAATCTCACTCAGCACACAGGGTCAATGTACAGGGTTCAGGCATAGGTCTAGGGATCGAATCTCAGTGTCTGCAAATGTCATGTCAACTGGGTGAAACCGTTTCAGAATTACTAAAGTTAAGAATATAGACGGGATAGACAATTGTAAACTTATCCAAAGTAGTCATAAAGCACTCTAGTCATAGCATGTTGAAATGTCCCAAGTGCATTAAAAAGCCAAAATGGCATCACCACAAACTCATACAGGCCATGCCTGGTCTGAAATGCTATCTTGCGCTGATGCTTGGGTCTTATCTGTATCTGATGATACCCTGACTTCATATTTGCAATCAGACTTGTCAGCTTCGACATTCAGCATGCGTACAAACAGATGACGATCAAGCTGGCGACTAGCGCCCACACAAAAGCTTTGTGATAACGAAGTCACGAACGCAGCTCAGATTCAAACTTGTCTTGTTCCGCTATGGTCGAACATTGCACTCTCAACAATTTGTTCGTAGACACATCCTGGATCTCCCAGGATGTCCGGCACACACACACTCTTTGCATGTACACACACACATACACGCACTAACACTCTAACCTTGCTGGCATGGTGGTTATGGTCACCGTCTCTCTCCTACCTACTAACAAGCTTGGCTATGGCCGACTTCCTCCTCTTATCACTCTACTCC